CTGTATAACCTGAGGATTTGTAGGTAGCTATAGACAGTGAGTATTCTGTATAACCTGAGGATTTGTAGGTAGCTATAGACAGTGAGTATTCTGTATAACCTGAGGATTTGTAGGTAGCTATAGACAGTGAGTATTCTGTATAACCTGAGGATTTGTAGGTAGCTATAGACAGTGAGTATTCTGTATAACCTGAGGATTTGTAGGTAGCTATAGACAGTGAGTATTCTGTATAACCTGAGGATTTGTAGGTAGCTATAGACAGTGACTATTCTGTATAACCTGAGGATTTGTAGGTAGCTATAGACAGTGAGTATTCTGTATAACCTGAGGATTTGTAGGTAGCTATAGACAGTGACTATTCTGTATAACCTGAGGATTTGTAGGTAGCTATAGACAGTGAGTATTCTGTATAACCTGAGGATTTGTAGGTAGCTATAGACAGTGACTATTCTGTATAACCTGAGGATTTGTAGGTAGCTATAGACAGTGAGTATTCTGTATAACCTGAGGATTTGTAGGTAACTATAGACAGTGACTATTCTGTATAACCTGAGGATTTGTAGGTAGCTATAGACAGTGAGTATTCTGTATAACCTGAGGATTTGTAGGTAACTATAGACAGTGACTATTCTGTATAACCTGAGGATTTGTAGGTAGCTATAGACAGTGAGTATTCTGTATAACCTGAGGATTTGTAGGTAGCTATAGACAGTGACTATTCTGTATAACCTGAGGATTTGTAGGTAGCTATAGACAGTGAGTATTCTGTATAACCTGAGGATTTGTAGGTAGCTATAGACAGTGACTATTCTGTATAACCTGAGGATTTGTAGGTAGCTATAGACAGTGAGTATTCTGTATAACCTGAGGATTTGTAGGTAGCTATAGACAGTGACTATTCTGTATAACCTGAGGATTTGTAGGTAGCTATAGACAGTGAGTATTCTGTATAACCTGAGGATTTGTAGGTAGCTATAGACAGTGACTATTCTGTATAACCTGAGGATTTGTAGGTAGCTATAGACAGTGAGTATTCTGTATAACCTGAGGATTTGTAGGTAGCTATAGACAGTGACTATTCTGTATAACCTGAGGATTTGTAGGTAGCTATAGACAGTGAGTATTCTGTATAACCTGAGGATTTGTAGGTAGCTATAGACAGTGACTATTCTGTATAACCTGAGGATTTGTAGGTAGCTATAGACAGTGACTATTCTGTATAACCTGAGGATTTGTAGGTAGCTATAGACAGTGACTATTCTGTATAACCTGAGGATTTGTAGGTAGCTATAGACAGTGACTATTCTGTATAACCTGAGGATTTGTAGGTAGCTATAGACAGTGACTATTCTGTATAACCTGAGGATTTGTAGGTAGCTATAGACAGTGACTATTCTGTATAACCTGAGGATTTGTAGGTAGCTATAGACAGTGACTATTCTGTATAACCTGAGGATTTGTAGGTAGCTATAGACAGTGACTATTCTGTATAACCTGAGGATTTGTAGGTAGCTATAGACAGTGACTATTCTGTATAACCTGAGGATTTGTAGGTAGCTATAGACAGTGACTATTCTGTATAACCTGAGGATTTGTAGGTAGCTATAGACAGTGACTATTCTGTATAACCTGAGGATTTGTAGGTAGCTATAGACAGTGACTATTCTGTATAACCTGAGGATTTGTAGGTAGCTATAGACAGTGAGTATTCTGTATAACCTGAGGATTTGTAGGTAGCTATAGACAGTGACTATTCTGTATAACCTGAGGATTTGTAGGTAGCTATAGACAGTGAGTATTCTGTATAACCTGAGGATTTGTAGGTAGCTATAGACAGTGACTATTCTGTATAACCTGAGGATTTGTAGGTAGCTATAGACAGTGACTATTCTGTATAACCTGAGGATTTGTAGGTAGCTATAGACAGTGAGTATTCTGTATAACCTGAGGATTCGTAAGTAGCTATAGACAGTGACTATTCTGTATAACCTGAGGATTTGTAGGTAGCTATAGACAGTGAGTATTCTGTATAACATGAGGATTTGTAGGTAGCTATAGACAGTGAGCATTCTGTATAACCTGAGGATTTGTAGGTAGTTATAGACAGTGACTATTCTGTATAACCTGAGGATTCGTAAGTAGCTATAGACAGTGAGTATTCTGTATAACCTGAGGATTCGTAAGTAGCTTTAGACAGTGAGTATTCTGTATAACCTGATGATTTGTAGGTAGCTATAGACAGTGAGTATTCTGTATAACCTGAGGATTCGTAGGTAGCTATAGACAGTGAGTATTCTGTATAACCTGAGGATTTGCAGTTAGCTATAGACAGTGACTATTCTGTATAACCTGAGGATTCGTAAGTAGCTATAGACAGTGACTATTCTGTATAACCTGATGATTTGTAGGTAACTATAGACAGTGACTATTCTGTACAACCTGATGATTTGTAGGTAGCTATAGACAGTGAGTATTCTGTATAACCTGAGAATTCGTAAGTAGCTATAGACAGTGAGTATTCTGTATAACCTGAGGATTTGTAGGTAGCTATAGACAGTGACTATTCTGTATAACCTGAGGATTTGTAGGTAGCTATAGACAGTGAGTATTCTGTATAACCTGAGGATTCGTAGGTAGCTATAGACAATGAGTATTCTGTATAACCTGAGGGTTACCTTTACAGACAGTGGCTATCGTTACTGGCCTGTTGAGGATCAAGGTAATTATTGTGTCTGGCTCAATTCCAGACTTTTACTACCAATTAGTACTCCTCTCATTCACCAACACACCAAAGGACAGCAGGTTTAGGTCAGCAAACTTAGATTTCAAGTGATATCATCAAAACAAAAAAATCTGATTTTCAGTAATAAAACTCTACAATATGAGATCATTAAATGAATAATCATGGCCGAGATTTGTGCGGCATTTCAGTCCGACTTGACTGAAAACAATAAAACTGCTTGTCAGAGTATAACCTTCGTGCCAAATGATCACTGGACGAGGAACTATTCCACACGATGTGTCTGAGAGTTGTAAAGATTGGTGGCAATTTGGAAGCTCTCATGGCAATTCCATCTGTTTATTTACCTTGTTTACGGAAATTCTAAGCATTCCTATCAAGCGGACTGTTCGGATAACAAACGTGGCAGCCAAGCATTACATGAGAAAGACTGAGGGTGGCGGAACTGAACTAAAGCATTCTATGGACCATTTCTTCTAATGACTTCTACACAAAGTACTCCATTATCCCTCACAAAATCAACAAACTTCTGGCTTTGTTTTCAGTTCGCTGACAGATCTACACCAAAAAGTAAAATATTTTTGTTATCATCCAAGTGCTCTTTACACCTAACAACAATATCGCATTTTGTTAGGAATGATAATTTATTTTCATTATACCAAGCCTTGAACTTTTGGTTATGTCTTTTCATTGTGTCAGAATTAAAAAGAATACTACATTTATTGTTAAAAGTGAACTTGCTGATAAGAATATCAATCAGGATAAAATACCGTCAAGGTAAACAATCTTGTGTACAAAAATGTCAATGAACCGTCCATCAATACAGTCAATCTACTACAGGTCAATCCCTCAGAGGTCAACAGCTCACTGGCCAACACTCGATGGCCTGTCTGTCAGGTACTTAGCAGCTACTTAGTATCCTCCTGACAGAAGATTATTAGATGTGTTTCTAAACTACACCCCCTCCATTCTCCACAATCACCATCCCCACAACACCCCAATCATTATCATTGCATTCTTTATGGCCCATAAACACAGAAGAGACTGACATTTGGGTCAATTAAAAGTTATAAACATACCAACCTATCAAGCTTCAAGCCTGTTACGAAATCAGGATGATACACCTTATGCAGTCTCAATCAGAATCGATGATGTATTGATGTTAAGTTAGACACCAGAGTACAATTATCCCACCCCCCTACTCCCCAACCATACAAAGATCAACGATGTGATCAGGCCATCAGTATTCTATCTCCTTATGTATCCTTATATAGCTCTCCATCACCACCAATTACCATACTTAGCTAAATAAGGTGCACTTAACACCTTGTGATTTAGTGGGGATGTATTGACATGCTATCACCAGTAATTATCTCAGGGGTATACAGTCCTATAAAACCAGGGGATTTAGCATAACAGATTTATACTCAACAATGTCAGGAATTTTTATACCTTTGAAATCACCTTAAAGACATGCTACTGCAGCCACATTTCCATGAATACACAGAATCATCTTGTTTCTCGTTACTGAATCATTAAGCATTTAACTAGTTTCAGCTAGCATTCACAGGTCAAATGAATACCAACTGCATACCGGACAAAGGCAAATTCCATAAAGCATCAAGTTGAATTTGTCTGTATCCAGTTTGCACTCATATTGCCTATGAACGCCAAATGGAAGCAGTTCAATACATATATTGACTATTTTTGAAAGATTTGGATATATAAAACTGTGTATATTTTGTGTTTTATTGTTAAATAAAGAGAAAAGACATCTGACTAAGAGGGTCAGTGGTATCCATCGTTACAATTGTGATGCCATCAACAATTGGCCCATGGCATTCATAACTTGTGTGAATGCCATTTGAATATGGTAGCGTTATATAGTGACGATGCCATATAGGGGTTGTTTTAATGGTCTTGTTATAGCTGACATACAGCTAAACATTTAGCGTGTTTGGTACCTGTGAAAGGTCACAGAGGAACCAACAATTGGCTGTAGTAAACTAGCACTTATTTGCATATTTAAAAAAAAGTATTGTTTTCAATGCAATTCTCCTTTGTTTTTTAATGTTAATGAATGGCTACCAGTAATTTCTGTTTCTTTAGATCAGCAGACAGCCAGACTTGTGACTACCATTGTACTGTTTGTGGGTTCATTATAAAATAAACATATATGTGATTTATATTACTAACAAACAAATGGTCATGAAATATTAAGTGTAAGTGTAAATCTTAACAACATGTACTGATGAATTACCTCAAACACATTTGATATGGTGAAATCTTCTGTAGATACACAAGAGTCCCCATCTCCATGGTGATGCTCTCGAGATCGTCGGTCACCAAGGAAACCATCAACAGAGTTACCATCACTTTGATAGTTCTCATCTTCTGTATCTAACTGGTCACCATGGAAACTATAATTCCTCGCTAGCTGGTCACTATGGAAATTAATATCTGTTTCTTGTTGGTTGCCATGGAAATTAGAATCCATGTCTAAATGGTTACCAGAGAAACCATTATCAGTCTCCAATTGAAGATTGACATCAGGTCCAGTCGGACTGTGTTGTGATTGGTCACAACTTTCTCCGTCACCATCCTGTTGTCGTGACGGAGTTTCAGAACTTCCAAGAACATCATCTGTAAACTCATTAACACTTTCACTATTCTCGTGACAACTATCACCGTGGTTACAGAGGATAGCGTCATCAAGGTTAGACAGGTTGCCGTTAGCATGGTAACCACTTTGATCTAGCTGGTCTGTGGAACATTTGGAATCACAACCATCAGAATCACACTCATTTTGATCTTTATCACACAGATCCTGACCATCTAGGCAAACAGAATCGCAGCAGCTGTCGTCAAGGTCATTAGAGTCTAGGTTTATATTTCCATGGAAACGTTTTAAGAGACTATTTCCATCCTCTATACTATCACAAAAGTGGTTGTCACCTTCATTCTGTTCCTCAAGGTCAGAGATATTTATATCGGAAACCAGGTTGTCATTTCCATGATAAAGTTTCAAAAAGGTGCTGCCGCTGCCCTCTCCAGGAATATCACAACTTTTACCGGCTCTGTCTTCTTCCTCATTATTATCAGAAGCCATTTCGAAGGAATTTAAAATTTTCATTCTCTTCTTAAGACACAAAGAAGCGTATTAACTTGCACAGTGTGTGTGTGTGACTTATGGTAGTAAGGGATACTTTAAAGTTTAGTAGTGTTCCACTTGATCTGATGCATCATTAAGAGTGCTCAATTAGTCAGCGTTACACACATCAGGTCCTGGATGAGGCTCCTGTACGTACACCCATATACTGCTGCAGTAGTTACCTGTACACCAGGTAAATAAGTCCCACACAAAGACTCCTCAGCACAGATCATGTAATACACACAGGTATGATATCCACATCATCTGCCTTATTAATCACAGGGTTCTGTCAAATGATGAATCTCCCCTGCAGAAGTAATCTCCTGTCGGAGAAGTTTGAATGCCGATTTGACTCTCCATTCATCACCTCTGCTGAGTGTAACCAGTAATCCCACCGATACCTCGGATGTTGTAGTTCCACACATTCTCCATAGGCCCTGCCAGCCCCACAGACAATCCGCAGTTCAGGTGTAATATGAAAGCAATTTTTTTTCTACTCATAAAAATACCACAACCAGCCGACTTGGGATCATTCATGAAGAGTTAGACCGGCAAGAAATGGCTAACATGTAATAAATTATCCATCTGGTACAATTTCCACAAACAATTGATTCCTGTTCACATGTTCACTACAGTAACATAGATGAGCTTTTTACCTGCCCGACAGCTGTTGTAACGCCAGCCTAGATCTCTAGCTCAGTGTGTTGATGTTTTTGTATTTATATCCCTAATGCAGAAGAACATGTCAAAAATGCATTTACATAGCAATGTTAATCCAAAATAAACAAACGCTGGACGGTGACGGATTATCCATTCCAGACAATGATTGCATTAATGGAACCAATCAGATAATTTTTTCAACATCCCGTGAAGAGAAAAGGTGAGTCACTGATTGACAGCTGTAATTGAGTGATGGTTGGTACTGGTATATGGGACGGTCACACGGTATCAACAGAGGATATCTAGGGCGGGTGGAGTATAGTACATCTGTACATATAAACAATGCTGTCACACAAGTTAACAGTGTGTTTCACAGTTGGTACATAAGTTATGAATAATGTAATATTTATCACAGGTCAGTAGGGTCTACCCCAATAAGGCTATTACAGATATAATTACACCACATCCGTTGTGTTGGACGAGACACAGATTTAATCAAACTGATAGCAACCTCATGAATACTGTCCACATCCTTTGTATTCATCCAAGGACTGTCCAATACAGTGACAAAATAATCCAATTCCTTTTTATGGCTGACCAACTCACTAATGAGATTTTTCTTCTTTTTGTACTCCTTATTAATTATTGCACGGCAGAATGGAATCCTGTGGGTATATTTTCCACTCCATGATAATAATAAAAGTTAGTCAGTAGGTAAAAGTTTTGAGCAAAATGATAAAAAAAATTTAATGTTGGTGCATCAACGCTGTGTTTCTTTTTATGTTGATGGAAGGTGTTTTTTTTTTTATGAATCTGAATAGTTTATATTTGGATCCAGTTCTAAGTCCAGTGTCAACATTTGTAAAGGGCTAGACCTCTACTGCTGGAAAACAAACACTTAATGTTTTAATCACGAACACTTTGTTAGGAATACCTCTAAGTCTTGTTGGTCCAGAATGCAAACAATCGGGATTATAATCGCCGGGTGGACGCTGGCCAATCTTAGACAACAATTTTATCCACTACTGTGTAGTGGAGAATCTTACAACTTGTCACGTTGGCCGTAAATCCCGCGAAATCACATGTATATCAATCTCAAGTGCATGTTGTGATTAACAATTACTGGTAATGGCACTCATGCAGGGCCCGAAACACTCACAGCAGCTTCACGAATATCTGAGTCCACGATAAGTGTACTCCCAAGGTATATATCCTGTGTAGATGGCATTGATTTGTACAGATGTACACTAATTAGTGGTTCCCCAAGGCTAAGCACACCAAAAGGGTAGCAGACACTCTACCGATTGTCCTAAGGTGTCCTAAGGTGGAACTCCTCCTAATGTTGTCACAATCAGGGTATAGTCCTCCCCAAAAATCAAGTGGGAGTGCTAGGCCCTATGTTGTCCCTGTAGGGACACACACACACTGGGGCTTGTTGTCTCAGAGGTGTGCTGATCTGGCACTACCTATATTTACAGTACTGTCAACAATTAAGCATAATGTTCCAGAAGGTCAATATCAGTAAACCATTTTGTAATCCTTCCTTCCTGCTTTTATAGTGTTTTTTTCAGTACTACCAACAGTCCGGTGTCATCTGCTCTAGAACTAGGTAATTAAGTCAACAGTGAACTTCCTGTAGGCCAGATAAGGGACCACTTCGTTCTGGGAAGATTTGACAGATAAGGACCCACTTGAATTTCTATAGATATTAAATTACTTCTCTTCTTACCAAATTATGGTAAATAATCAAAATGTTGAATTTATCTTCTTTATAACAAGATGATTGCCACAAGGTTACACCTTTACTTTCAGAAAAGCGGGTTTTTTTCTGACAGCACTGCGTTACATATAATATTCCTGTATATAATGATTTCATTCGACACACAAATATCTACCTAAACTTTGATGAATCAAAAATTCATGTAGCGTTAAATTACCATTTAAAAGTTGTGCCAAGGTTTACACTAAATAGAGAAACCGGTCTCCTCAGCCTACTTTTTATGTGAAGTATCAGGTACCCCGTTAAACACCATAAACGACCCTACATGTCCAGTCATCCAGAGTTTAAATAAACATCTAGCCTACATTCATACACAGGTTAACACTTTTAACAGTTAGAAGTGCTGAAGGGATTTTTCTTGATTCCATTTGAAGTTCCTTATCAACTTGTACCTAGCAATACCATACAGATACAAGCAGAATGGTCACAGTCGATGGAATTAACTCTCACATATTGACCTAAAGTGATATTATATCTATAAATGCTCAATTTCTTTATATAAAAGCTGAATTTTACATTACTAATGAAATTATTAAACTCTGAATAGAGAACTTTTGTATCCTGATAAGATCAAAGCTAACTCTGAAACCACGCACTTGATCAATTATATTGAGATATGAGACGTCCGAATCTACACAGAGGTCTTGTTTATATTTACCTGGCGGTTCAAAGTAAAGGTGGCTTGTGTACAATTATAACTCTCTGGTAATTCTGAGTTTAAAAAAATGGCACAATAGGTTCTTTGCTACTAAGTAACCTAATCAGCAAGATATATCACTTAAAAGCCACCAAACCAATCAGCTATCCAATCTTAAGTTCTAGCCCAGCAGATGTTTGACTGTATAATCCCCATGTTGATAAACAGCTTTATCAAGGCACTTTCATACAGATATGTATAGTTATAAACTGAAGTTAAAGCTTTTCATCTGATGGTATTCTTTAGATTGGAAGATAATTCAGAGATAGTAGATCTGTCAGTAGTCTTTAGCTTTGAGGTTAATCCACTGAGAAATGAACTTATTTCGACTAAATCCTGAAATTAATCCCTGGAGTCATACTGCATATAATAACTCGTTAATTCCACCAAAGGACAGTGAAGTCTGACGTTAACAATTTCCAGTCAAGTGGCCCAATCCATGGTCATTAGAATTCAATCCAGAGTCATTAGAATGAAGTGCCAGCTAAGGTCACTTCTGACCAATGATGGGGTATTGTCCAAAAGTGTGACCCTGCGTGCCTAAAGCTGACCAATGATCAGATGTTGTCCTATAGTGTCACTCAAGCGTCAACTTTCATCTAAAGCTGACCTAACTTTCATCTAAAGCTGACCTATGACAGGATGTTCTCCAATATTGTCACCCCGCATGCCTAAAGCTGACCAATGATCAGATGTTGTCCTATAGTGTCACCCAAGCGTCAACTTTGATCTAAAGCTGACCTATGACAGGAAGTTGTCCAGTATTGTCACCCCGCGTGCCTACAAAGCTGACCAATGATCAGATGTCCTATAGTGTCACCCTAGTGTCCTCTTTTATCTTTAGCTGACCAATGATCAGATGTTGCTCAATAAGGTCATCCAAGTTTCCACGTGTAGCCAATGCCTAGGCACAATACATACTAATATCAGACAATGGCGGTCAGTAGGCAGATGGTCACTTCAGTGTAAGATAGGTATTGATCTGTGTAACAGGTGTTGTACCAATTGTCAGTTTGCAATTATCCGATCAAAGACAGTTCAACATTATAGAATTCAAATAAAGTCGGTTGTAAATGTTATTTCACAATCTTCTCCAATATCCATTATAAGTGTTATTGCTGGTTTTGTGTAGTAAAACATCCATTACATACATATACTGCTCACAGCGATGTCAATCTCCTTAGATGTTGTTTGATGTGTTGCCACACAATGACATGGGTTCTTTATCTATCACAACAATGACCACTGGTCAATAGCTAATCAAGATTTGGATTAGAGTGGTCAATGAATTCCCAGGCACACACTCAGCAGGACATTTTAGTCGAGTACATGGACACGTCCTGTGTATGAACGGCTCAACACCTGGTAATTATTTGTAATCACGTCTATGACAGTCTAAAGGTGTGGGCTGCTGGACTTTTAACACTATATGTATGTATTAACGGGTAGTTTTGAAAGTATCTGTGCTGTGGCTGATCCTACCAGCCCCAAGAATCCAGTTTCGTCCTTACTTGCTACAGGTGTTGTAAGTTCCTAGACACCAGTGATGTCATTAGTATTACACCTGCTTACATGGGCAGCGCACTATCCACAACTGAAATGTCACCTTGACTTTTACAAAAATCTACATGTCCTATTATTATTAGTTAATATCCAGTAAGTTTTACAGCTGCTGAAACCCTGCTCATTTATTGGCTGCCATTCCCACTCTCTCTAGGTCCCACTTTGATGCTCCTCTATTTAGCACCTAATAAAACACAACACCTGCCCGCTATGAACTTCACACACACAGGAGAAAGGTACACAAGTATTGATCCTGTATTGATATTTATAGATGTTAAACTTTAATTGCGTAAGTCTCCTTATCGTCTCATCACTTTGTAGCCGAAGTTGTATCTGTTAATCCTGGTTAACTTCATCAGCATCTAAGTGTGCATGGTGTTGTACAATCTTAATTAAAACTAGAACAGATATGTCAACAGCGTTCGTACAAATTGTTTATTTATAGTCAAACATCAACACTGAGTATACACAGCCAGGTAGGTGATGAAGATAAGAGATGGCGGATGTGATCACCCTGACGAGGGCTTGTCCAGATAGGTGTAGGACGGTCTATAGAAAGTATAATTACAACCTGGGATAAACACACAATCTACCCATCAATTTTGTCCAGCAAAATCACATATAGGTAGCCTGTACAAGTTGGAAATGTTTTGTCCTGCAAAACACATTTCACAAAAGTCAAAGGTTCATAGGGTTCAATCAATTGATACTAGCGAACTCAGGATTCTGAGGAGAAAAAATATAGCCCACAAAAACCGTCCGTAGCACTTTGTTACCGTAGATGACAGCATCATTCCAAGATAGATACAGCCGTCCCGTTGTGTAGCACTATTTCCATTACAGGGTTGTTGACGAAGTTTTACAGCACTTTATTGTCATTTAAATGTACAACAACATGACTTGACTGGAATCAATTTGCTTACGATCTGATAGCACTTAAATGTTTTCTTTCTTCATCAATTCTGCCTCTGACATGACACTGCGTTGTAGATTTCTAACCTATTTATAACCACAACTCTCAAGTCCTTTGTATACAACATGAAAGGAAGAGCAGTATACATAAATATATGAACAAAAAATCAACAGTCTCCTCCGAGGAAGATCCTCTCAAACTTCTCCTCCAGTGAAGATGAATAGATAACAGTGACCTCTTGCACATAAATATAAAAGTCTCCTCCTCCGTTAAATAATAATAAACACCATGTTTAGTAAAATCCATCAAGTGTGAACATTTCGCCTCATTTCTTCCTTTTTCACATTTTCAGACGTCTGGTACATCCGAACACTGTCAAATAGACAAGTTTCAATTTACAACCGGTTTTTCTCAAAGTTTGAGTTAAGAGTGACGTTTCTACTCACACATGCCTCATGATGCGCATTCACATGACCGGCCTAAAAAAACGTGGAATACGGGAACATCTTGGTAACAAAGTTCAATTCATATGCATCAACAGTATCAGGTGGTGTTATAATAAGCTGGTCGGGGTTTCCAACAAGTTAGAATGATGCATACACAAAATCTACTCTAGCTTAGCGTCTCGAGACATCCCTCTGTCAGTCGCCTGGGTGTCTCACTGGGGGTGTTAGTCATTAACTTCAGGGTTTGATACCATGCACATCCTCCAAGATAAGCGACAGTCGGGGATAAAAAAGTTTCACTCTTGGATTTATGCACAAAATACTTCACTTATCAATGAAAGCCCTGACGTCATTGAATAATTATATATCTTTTATCTCAAAAATATTTCTTTCTGAATTCCAAAGTGTCCTGCACTGTCAGTATAAAGCTCCTGCTGAGAGATTAGTTCATCTTGGGCTTTTATCAATTCCAAAACTACCCCAACATTCCGCTTTTAAGAATTATTATAGAAGCAGGCCAATTTTACCTTTCTTTACATGGTAATTATATCGTAGATAACTATTTCAAAAAACATGTTCAACATTGTGTACCATTTTGTCAGTTATTTTCCAGAGATACAAGATTCCCCTAATTTCCGACCCACACAGTAGCTTACATCCTGGGCGTCGCTCTGCGGCCTGTCCCTGCCACAGCGTAAGTGTTTTCAATTACTCTCTGACTAAAAGAAACCTTTTACCCGGCCAGACAACTTTATGTGAATTTCTGAGGAACGTATCGCTGGGTTTGCAGGAATACCTATTTACAGCTTGCCCTTGTTCCGTTTACTGTTAAAACCACATACAGGTGTAACCAGGAGAACAAGAATCATGCTCCGAAAATTGTCTGTATCTTTTTTTTCTGAGTATTTTTTAACTTATTCCATCTAGTAATGGTAAGACCCCTGCAGATGTGTTGTACAATAAGAATGGAAGCGTTAACGATAATTAGATTGTACAGATGATTGGTACAGAGGCTGGGGAACTCTGTGCCGGAAAAAATCTCAAGCTTGTATCTTTATCTTTTCTCTCCCGATAACCAACAGTGAGAAGAAAAGTTGAACCAGTGCTAAGAGACAATGCTGTCCAAGATCTTATCTTATCTAAGTACACAGACCCTTAGACTGTCAAGTCTGTGTCATGTATATAAACATGCTCTAAGCTCCACACAGCTCTTTGCTGATTAAAAAATCATACAGAAAAAAATATCTTCAAATCTTCATCATTGTGAAAATAAGATATTTATTTTCGTACTGCCATTTGGTGAAGCTGTTGGACCTTGAGTTCTTTCTGCCTGGGTGGCCATTTTAACATCCAGTTTGACAACACTTTCACAACATGTATGTATATATACACATACAAATTCTATTCGGTTAAAAAACTGGAAAAAAAGTTGTTGGTGTTTGGACATATGCGATAAATCAAAGCTACCATTGGGATAAACATCTGTTTGAATATCATGTGACTGTGTGATCTATTTATAGTCTGTAGTTCAATAGTAAACAGGAATTAATGTTTTACCCTACAATAGGTGGTGTTTCCCCAAGGCATATCTGGTAAGTCAGAGTTCAGAGAATAATGTGACCAGGTGAGTATAGTCATGCTGAACCATGTCCACGTTATGATATTTCAGTGAGATAATACTTCAACTCATTCACCCGTGAACATTTTATAATGAACTATTCCAACCTTTGAATTGGAAGAGTTCAAGTGTGTCTTCAGGGGTGAATGAGCTAAATGACCCCTTGAGTGGCCTCATCATCTGTGCATGGAGAGCCTTGTCCTAAGACCTTAGCTGTTTCGAAGACTCTAAATCTCCAGTGACTCAATCAATTAACCATATTTGATTCTGATGGCCTTTACTAAATGATAAACCAGTAGACTTTCCTAAGTGTCCGTATAGATGTTGAATTTGCACAGGTGAAACTGGGCCATTTGAAGTATCCACACTTGGCACCTTCTGCTAGAAATGTTTAGGTACAATATACTGCCTGAAAAAACCTTTGGTGGAAATATACACTTCTTCAATCAATAGTGTATAAAATGATGGCCTACACATCACTGTGAATGAAGGGACTGCTAGTACAGATCTATATTTCACCCTCCATTGATCACTTTCAGAAAATAAGCAGAATTCCTAAACCATTTTACATCAGACGTTCGTAATGAGAATAAACTATTCTGACTCAGGTTAGAAATTACCATACCAACACCTCTCTGCAGCTTGATTGGTCAATGTGCTTCTTTAATAATCATATACAGCAGACATAGAATGTTGACTCAGTATAAAATTATTCCAGCAGTAATATACCTAGTAACCCTGCAGATCACCTTGCCAACATGCTATTTTCCCACTTAATTGGGCCTAATTAGCAGCTATTTATGGCTTAAACTCTATCTGTAACCTTGAATGTAGAAAACATATGCTATTCTCAAATTAATATAAGCCAGACTTGTTTAATGCAACATGGAGGATGAAATTGTCATAGGCCATGAACCCCACAGCTGCCTCCTTTTTTAAGTGCCATCCTCACATGGCCTCTATACTTAACGACAATCCCTTTAATGCATTACACTTTTGTAATGCTCCAATCGATACTGCTCCAACATTGACAAAATTCATAAATACGATCAACACATTATTTTTCTGTGTCCTCATTCACTTGGAAAAAGACAGGTCAGAGGAAAGTTTGAAGAAATATTTCTTTAATAGTTGCCAACTTTTTTTTATCTTTCCAAGTGAACTGAAATAAATCCAGATATACTTACTCATATAATGAAACTAGAAAATGTATGTAAAACATACTCTCCCAATTTGATGGAAATGGAGCTTTATGTAGTCTCCACAGGAAGTACCTTCATGTAGAGTGTGATGACTATCAGACTTCGATATCACAGAAACGGAGCTAAATGCAAAGTGACACCAAATTCAATGAAGCGGAAAATATATGTTACAGTGACCTACAGATCACATGATGGTGAAGCAGTCTTGAAGATATTGTTTGTGATGGTAGGACTGGTGAGTATCATAGAAATGGAGCTATACGAAGTCTATTCAAAGACAGAGAAGCAGAAAATTATAGGTCACATGATGGTAAATTACTCCTTAAGATGTCGTTCGTGATGGTAAGAAAAACTAGAAAATGTCTGCGAGACATAAATGCCCCCCGCTCATGGATGGGATGGGATGGGACGGGGAAGGGACGGAGATGGGCAACACTATATGCCCCCCCCCCTCCCCCCCATTTTATGGCGGGGCATAATAACTGTGATACTTCTAGTATCAGTATTAGTTTGACCATGATACTAAAGGAAAAGGCAAACACGTAATGCCCCTACACTACTGTGTTGGAGGGCATCACATATCTATAGTCCTGTACTTCAATTCAGATTTTGTGAAGCATATTAAATTACAGCCGAGACAATGGCTTTGATTGTCTATCTTTGACAATGCAATCAATGTGCTACTTATTGAATAAAGCTTGGTGTAACTGAATTAGAGTTATAATATCATCCATAAACCGCCAATGCTATCAACCACAGGTCCCACAACAAGTTACAGGCCATTGATGATAGAACCACATCACTGTTGGTAGAGGAACTAAAGGGTAGATTAACCTCAGTTTCAATATACAGTGTATTTTAATACTGTTTAACAGGATCTCACAATTGTTTTTCATTCCAAGCTTAAGAAGTGTATAGTGGTTTATTACGGTTATTAATTATTTTTACCGGATGGAATGGTTGGTCAGACTTTAACATTTATTAAGTACAGAGTGGATGTTTGACCCCAGGTGAAATGTTTAGGACTTCAATAAAGTGCCTCTATAAAACATCGACCAGACACACATTACCCACTTCTTGTTATAAACAGGAACAATACAGCCATATCGCTCACGTAAACAAATCAATACCACCCAGAACTCTGTACTCTTACCTATCCCCTCCCTAACACCCAGAACTCAGTACTCTTAGCTATCCCTTCCCTAACCCCCAGAACTCAGTACTCTTAGCTATCCCTTCCCTAACCCCCAGAACTCAGTACTCTTAGCTATCCCTTCCCTAACCCCCAGAACTCAGTACTCTTAGCTATCCCCTCCCTACCACCCAGAACTCAGTACTCTAAGCTATCCATTCCCTACCACATCGACCAGACACACATTACCCACTTCTTGTTATAAACAGGAACAATACAGCCATCTCGCTCACGTAAACAAATCAATACCACCCAGACCTCTGTACTCTTACCTATCCCCTCCCTAACCCCCAGAACTCAGTACTCTTAGCTATCCCTTCCCTAACCCCCAGAACTCAGTACTCTTAGCTATCCCTTCCCTAACACCCAGAACTCAGTACTCTTAGCTATCCCTTCCCTATCACCCAGAACTCAGTACTCTTAGCTATCCCTTCCCTAACTCCCAGAACTCAGTACTCTTATCTATCCCCTCCCTAACCCCCAGAACTCAGTACTCTTATCTATCCCCTCCCTAACCCCCAGAACTCAGTACTCTTAGCTATCCCTTCCCTACCACCCAGAACTCAGTCCTCTTAGCTATCCCTTCCCTAACACCCAGAACTAAGTACTCTTATCTATCCCCTCCCTAACCCCCAGAACTCAGTACTCTTAGCTATCCCTTCCCTAACACCCAGAACTAAGTACTCTTATCTATCCCCTCCCTAACCCCCAGAACTCAGTACTCTTAGCTATCCCTTCCCTAACACCCAGAACTCAGTACTCTTACCTATCCCCTCCCTACCACCCAGAGCTCTGTACTCTTACCTATCCCCTCCCTAACCCCCAGAACTCAGTACTCTTAGCTATCCCTTCCCTAACACCCAGAACTAAGTACTCTTA